GTGTGTATGTGACAGAGAGAAAGCGAGAGAACAAGTTGCATGCGTTGACTGGTTAGTTTATAGTTGGCATTTGGTTTAAGATATCATGCTTATCACCATCACAACATACTGGTTTGCAGTGAAAAAGTCTTTAAATGTATTATGGGATGTGATGTTTGTAAACAATTGTCTGTGATACTGTTGTTGTGAACCGGCCTGAGACCCTCTGCGGAGGTGAGAAGACCGGTATATAAAAGTTCTAAATAAATAAATAAATACAATACAATACAATACAATTAGTAAACCTATACAAGAAGCAGTGAATATGAAATATTAATTACGCTATTTCTTCCATTCTAAGACACTCTTGTTTCCTATATAAACATCTCTAAAAATGAGGTGCGTCTTAGAATCGCAGGCGTATCTTATGTATGTATGTTTGTTGTTGTTGTTGGGATTGAAATTGGTCTCTTACAGTTGATGGTGTCTTATAATAGATGAAATACACTATATTTCTATGTAATTCTGAGAAGCTTTATATTTCCTTAACATTGCCACCCAACAGTATGACACACTTAAAGGATTGCTTAAATATAGACATGGGGCATTTTAATGGTGCAATAGATATTCATACATTAGAGCAGGTGTCCTCAAACTATGGCCTGGGGACCAGATGCGGCCCTCCAAGGTCATTTACCTGGCCCTCGCTCAGGGTCAACCTAAGTCTGAAACGATTTGAAAGCACACAACAACAACAACAACAATCCTATCTCATCAGCCAAAAGCAGGCCCACACTTCCCACTGAAATACGAATAAGTTTATATTTGTTAAATTTGATTTTCATTTTAATTATTGTATTGGTTTTAAGTGTTTTTGCACTACAAATAAGATATGTGCAGTGTGCATAGGAATTCATTTTTTTTTTCAAATTATAATCTGGCCCTCCAACAGTTTGAGGGACTGTGACCTGGCCCTCTGTTTAAAAAGTTTGTGGACCCCTGCATTAGAGAGTAAAAAGGCTTTGTAGAATAATGAAAGTGTTTAATACTTTGTTTTAATTGTATTTGGTTGCGTATGTTTTTATTTAATCCGGATCTCAATATTTTGTGAAGCTAACTATTTCCATTATAACGTATAGTATTGCTAAGTGATGTGTGTCATTGGTTACATTTGTCTGGTTTCCACACTTGGAAGAGAAATGTACTTAATTTTCCAAAGCTGATAGT